TGATTGCTGCGGCCCATAGACATCTATATCTATCCTCTATTACAAATCAAAATGTAATTTATAATAATTATTTAAAAAATAATTTATAATAATAAATGCGCTTTGTTAAAATATTTATATCTTCCTTAACTCCTGCATTATCCGAGGGCATTTCGCCAGTCCTTACTGTTATTTTTTTTCCCATATAAAATCAAATGCATCCGATCTTTCTCTTATATTGAGTAATTCCATCTTATGTCATAACAAAGTTTGAGAAACATAAAATTACAATTTCTTTATATCAGGGATAGAATAGAATAGAATAGAATAGAATATATTTTTATTCAATATACATTACATGTGTAATTCTTATTGAAAGTCATTTTTTACTTTACCACTGGTTCGAAAAAAACCTCTGTCCTGGGAAGAACCAGCAAGAAACCCAGCGGGACTTTTTTTTTTAAATAAATTTTACAATATAAATGATTAGGAACTATTTACAAAATTTATTTTAGAAACTGCTTGGAAGCGATCACCTCATTCCCAGGGGTTATTATCAACCATGTATTCATTTATACTATAATAACCCTTTTTATACAGTTTCAGCTTAATAAAACATTTAAACTTGGTAATAGAGAGAACCTGTACACTTTCCGGGACCTTGTTGTAATAGCGTATACATTGCCCCAAGAATGAATTACTGACTCTGTGGAGACGAGAAACTGGTATCACTAGCTTGTGTTTGTTCCTAGTGTTTACAGAATGTATATCACTTCTTTTACTAAAACTATCTTTGTTTTTGTGAACATACATTAAATTTTCGTAAATATACTGAGAGGCCAAAGTTAATATATTAATTTCTTTAAATTTATCTCTAAGAGACTCTCTCGGTTTTAGATTGTAAATAGCTCTAATGGCCCTCTTCTGTAAAACAAAAATAGTTTCTGAATCAGCCGCATTTCCCCATAGCAAAATCCCATAAGACATTATGCTATGAAAATAACTAAAATAAACTAATCTAGCTGTCTCGACACTAGTGAGACCTCTAATCTTTTTTACAGCATAGGCTGCAGAACTTAGTCTGCATGCTAATTTGGATATATGGGGGCCCCACTGGAGCTTTGCGTCAAGAGTGATGCCAAGAAAAACAGTGGATACAACAGGGCTCAATTCCTCCCCATTTAAAAACACATTGGTATTCAGATTTTGAACATTCGTTGTTGTAAATTTAACACAATTAGTTTTATTTCCGTTCAAATGCAGATTATTAACGTTAAACCAATGCACTAATTTTGATATAGCATTATTCACTTCGTCACATTTAAATGATTGACGTTTAAGTTTAAAAATCAAGGAAGTATCATCAGCAAATAATACTATATCATGACTATCCCCTACAAGGTGAGGTAAGTCATTAATATACACCAGAAACAGGAATGGGCCGAGAATCGAGCCCTGAGGTACACCCATTAGTACAGGTGACCCGGAAGAACTTTTACCATTGATAATAACCTTCTGTTTTCTATTACTTAAATATGAAATAATAAGTTTAAGAATAAGATCGGATGGCAAAAAACAAAAAAAGAGAAAATCGTTTGGAACATTTATGTTTCTAGTAATTTATAGATCATATTGAAATATGTTTTTGAGCGTTAAATATAGGACAAATCTCTTTTATAAACTTTTTTCTCTAAGCAGTAGAAGTGGTTTTAAATTTAAGTCCGGTCTTACCCCTTAATGGCCAATTTTTCATTATGCATATAAAAAATATGTCTAGTTTTCGCACACCTTTAAAGCAGAAACCGTTGAGTTTACACAAGCAAAAGATTCTCAGAGCTAAACTACGTTTAACGATTAACAGTTTGCTCCATGTTCCATAAATCTGACGTATACGAATGTCGAGAAATTAAAGTTTTTGGCAGACTCTTCCAACTATTCGAAAATCCGTCCGGTATTACCCCAACGTACCTTACTTATTCGTTGTAGAGATATACTTACAAATTGCTGTGTGTAAAATACATTAATTTCTTATCTTAATCGGCAGTTTTACTCAATCCCACGTAAAACCTTTTATTTTTAATAAATCATTCAGTTATAGAGATCTAGCTTTTATTATATAAAAATATCGATAAAATTATTCGAGGATAGATATTACAGCAATATTATTTTTTTTTTCTTTTTTTTATAGGAGAGCCAAGCTACGGAGCCAAGCTACTTTATCGTTTGCCCCCGATAAAGTAGCTTGGCTCCCATAGACTTAGAATATACTGTCGTATATCCCTCCCTACCGACCCTATTAGTTTGGAGTATATATATAAAAAAAAAAAACTGGCAGACGTATTTTAAATTGTACATCTCAAAATATTAATTATGTAACTGCACCCATGTAGTTTAGAAATAAAAAATAATTAAATATCGCTAACCTTATAACGTCGATATTACTTCAAATAATTAGAATTGAGTGCTTTTTACAGTATAATAAATTGCACCTTGCTTGAATATAATTGCACTATCATCAAAAATGCATATAATGTAATGATAAGCACAAAAAATTGAAAAAACCAAATTTGTTAAGTATCGAATGCTAAAAATATAATTTAAACTTATTAATAATTACAATATACTTAATTTGTAACCAAAATAACTTATATTATATGATAAACTGACAAAAATTTGCAGCAAAATTCAAAGCTTGTGCGACTTAAAAGCGGAGAACTTTTAGGCAGTTTTTAACTTGAAACAAAAATAAAATTGGTTTAAAAAAGTATTAATGAGTAGCCAAATTTTGTAAACTAGTATAATATTATTTAAAAATTATGTGAGTATTGCAAAAGTTCTTTTTAGATTCAAGCAAAGTCACTAAGGGCTGATATTTCAATGGTGAAATAAAAGTTATTAATGTTATTTAAAATAAAATACAATATAAACAAATGAGTAAATACAGTTGAATAAAATAATTCAATTGCTTGACTTCACATAAGCTTGTAAACAATTTACTGATAAACTTGGCAGATTGGCATTCAGATTCTATTTTTTCATCGCTAGTTTAGATATGAGATATAACTATATTTACCGATATTTTGCTATCTGTCGCACATCCATAAGATTTCCTTGGTAATATCTGTAATATACTATTACAAAACAGGATATGGATAGGGCAACACATCCTTGTTTGCTTATTGCTTGTTTGTATGTATGATAAGAAAAGGATGTGAGAGAAGTATAATTTAAATGCATAATTCCCTATATTTATATGCATTCTGTGTCAACCTCCTTATTTCAAACAATTCCAGAAGTAGATACCATGAGCATATCTGCATGTATCGAAATATATATTATTATCAGGAATACTGAATTAGATTAAATATAAATGCATTATATATTCATGCCTAAAGCGCGGAGTGAGACAAGCCTGCTTTTACAAAAGAAGTCCCGCCACTTAAACATAGTGATTATATCATATATAATATACTATATAGAGCATGGATTATAGTTTGAAAGCTGGCGACGCATTTCGGGAAGGTCCATTTGGCAAGTTGAAATTGTTAAAAAATATAATTTCATCAATTGGCGAATCAAATCCGCGAGTCTAGCAGAGCGTTTGCGGTTATTTCGTGACTGCGCAGCATATAACATTTGCAAAAAAATAAATCCAAAGAAATGTTTTTGGCAACTTGATTTCTTTTTTATCTTTTAATTTAGTTTTTATATAATTTCAAAAAAATAATATCAGACGTTTTTGTCGATTATAAAGTATTACCAGACCTCTCCAAAAATATTTTTTTCCATTCGCCAAAAATATACTTATGGCAATCTCAAATTTTAATCACGTATTTATTGCGTAGTTTTTAATAATACCTGCAAATCGCTAGACGAGTATAGCGGTTTTAAACAGATCTCAGACATGAATAAAGTTTACAAATGAATACGATAAAAAGTCTTATGCGTAGCCATAACTGCGAGAAAGATAGCTTATCTAAGCATGCCGACAGCCGACAGCAGATGGGAGCCTAAGCCCCTCGCGCTGTGATTGGTTATTAAGAGATATCTTTAAATTTGGCCGGCAACGCATCTGCAATTCCCCTGGTGTTGCGGTTGTTCATGGGCGGCGGTAGTCACTTACCATCAGGTGAGCCGCATGCTCGTTTGCCCCCTCTCCTATAAAAAAAAAAAAAAAAAATCTTTAATAAGAAATATCTTTAATAATAAATAATATAAAAATTAAAATAGAAATCAAGTTGCAAAAAAACATTTTTTTGGAATTTTTTTTTGCTAATGTTGTATGCTACGCAGTAACAAAATAACCGCAAACGCTCTGCCAGACTCGCGGTACGGGATTCACCAATTGACGAAATTATATTTTTTCACAATTTCAACTTGCAAAAGGACCTTCCTGAAATTCGTCGCCAGCTCTCGGACTATTATGTTCTCTTTGGCTTGGACGAACGAATTATTAATCTGGAGTTTTGGCGGGAACTTAATCGGCGGCGGTTTGCTCCCCCTATATTATTATTGAAATAATGTTTTGAAGTGGACTTTGATATGTAAAAGAGGTGCGATTTTGTGTATTAAGTGTCTACGCGTGTAAACTATTAGTGGAAACGGTGAAACAAGTGCTCTGATGGTGATGTGATTCTCAAGATAAGGTGTCTGCTAAGGCGCCTTGAGATACCATTGCCAACTGTCAGCTGTGTGCTGGCTCAAGTTGCCGTCAAATCTCCCAAGGGCTGCACAATGTGACGTGTCAATACATTGTGAAGTAGTGTATTATGAAGGATAATTATACATTGTAACTTCAGGCTCAGAAGAGCTAGAACCCAGAGCCGTAAAGCCAGTTATAAAAAAATATATTAATCTATATTTGAATGTGTGGAATGTGACATTGCGACAGCCTATTTTATTTTTGTGATGAACAATAGGAGCTTTGTTATTAACATTGTAAATGATAAGGAATAAACTAATCTCATAAATGACGTTGTAAGTAAATACTTCTCCGATGTTTGATTTTGTCAGGATTAATAATGGGCTTTGATATCAAAAGATTTCAAGGTGACGTAGATGAGGAACTCATTTGCCCTATTTGTTCAGGAGTATTAGAAGATCCGTTGCAGGTGTGGTTTCGTTTTATTTTATTATAATTTATACAGGCATAAGATTGTACAAGTAATTATTGTTTATAGGCGCCAGCGTGTGAACACGCTTTTTGCCGTGCGTGTATTACTGAATGGATAAGTCGGCAGCCTACCTGTCCCGTTGATCGACAGGCAGTAACCTCAAGCCAACTTAGACCAGTTCCAAGAATACTACGCAACTTACTATCCAGGTGTGTGATTTCGCAATGGTGTTATGTGATTTTCTACTTTCGACAAAAACAACAAAATATGTTAACAAGACTCATTGAGCGTTTAATTAAGATGGGTTAGCATAAAGCATAATATATAGCTTAGATAGTGTTATATTAGAAAAAAAAATTGCAAACTTTCTAAGACTTGGTCTAAAAAATTACTTAATTACAACTTTTCTAGATAATGTCTAATGTCAATAACTTTCCAACAACTGTAACCACAATAACATAAAAGATTCAAACTCCTTAAAGAGAAACCAGAATAACTAACTATTAGGCCACACTTTCTGCATAGGATTCTCTCTTACCAGCTAATACAAAGTAGTAGTGCCTCTACTGTAGTTTTCAGGTTTGGTGAGCTGCTATATATTTTTCATCTTAGTGCTCAGATGTAACTGATCTCCTCTAGTCCTTTTTGTTCAAAAGTAGTTGCATGTTTCTCCTATGAATCAATAGGCATTTTAATTCTATTTAAACTGTTTACTTAATTATTCATTGATTTATGGTAAAATATATACTCATTATGGCTGTTGCTAAAAATAATATAAAACCTTCATGGAGAGCATTTTACTGATATAAGGTTCTTTTTTTAATAATAACTTACATGTTGTTTTATGCAAGGTCTCTATACATATTGTTTTAAATCAGTGACTATTATAAAATTATTTTAACCATGTAAGAAATTAGGTGGAGATGGTCTAATTTAAAACTGTATGTGCCTCCCTTGTATTTTTTGTAATTTCATATTAGGTACAATAAAACCTAAATCTGTATACCTACTTGTTTACTTGTGTATATTTCTTGTTTTTCAGTAGGGTCAGTCAGTAGACAAAATGCTATATTTTGTCTATATTTTACATGATAAAATCTATCAAAAATAACTGGAGCCACATGTAGTTTTAAATTAACACAATCTGTAACATTAGACATATTTTTATCTGTAATATTATACAAATTTTACTTAATATTTTATAAGCTATTTGATTTTTTTAATGATGCTATATATATTATATTGATATTTTGCTCCTTTCAGATTATGTACAAGTTGTGACAATGCACCACATGGTTGCAATGCAGTCTTGAAACTGGATTCATTAGCATCTCACCTTGTTGAATGTTTGTATATATTAATATTTATTGTTATGGTACCTATATAATAGTAAATGATGTTTCACTTTCATCATTCATCATCATCAATAAAACCCTTCACAATTCCACTGCTGAACATAGACCTCCTAAGTATAATGCTATCACAGTTGGGCCTCAACTTAGACAGGGAGTTTTTTCAAGCAGCCAGATCTATGGGAAAGAGTTTAAAATATTAATATTTTGCTGGAACAATTATAATGTCATTACACTATATGTTCATACAATTTCTGTAGCTATCAATAACTTGTATTGTAAATTTTAAGCTATCAATAACGTGTATTGATAGCTTAAAAAAACTATTTTGGTAGATAAGGTATGTTGTTTATTGATAAACATTTAATTTTGCCATAAAAACTTAATTCATTTGTAAAATCTTACAATCTATACTAAATAAGTTTTCATTTCTCATTATTTTCCAGGTGAATACAACCCTAAAAGGTTAATGCCATGTGAAGCAGGCTGTGGTCTTGTGATACCTAAAGATGAACTAGCAGAACATAATTGTGTTCGTGAACTGCGTGCATTGATTGCCACACAACAAGGCAAACTTACCGACTATCAACAGGAGTTGACTGAACAGAGACTTATAATAAATGAACATAAAAGAGAACTAGCACTGCTCAAGGTAAAGGTTTTTGCCTATCATAACATGTTGTAACCTACATATTTTGTTTATAATTTTTTGTCATTATTATACACAGCTTATAACCCTATACTGGATACAACCTCATATAAAATTAAGGCAGATTGGCAATTGTAATACCAGATATTTCTCACTGTTGATGTCTAGTTGCATTGTGATTATTTATATGTCTTTGTAACCTGAACTGATGATATTATCAGCTGTTTATTAAGTAATAACAACTTATCTTGATAGGAGTAGTAACATTGTACAGTAATATTTATAATGTCTTATGTCATATGAATCTAATAATAATAATAATAAAGCCATTTATTCAACAGTACGTAATACAATTTCTTAATATCTAAATCATATAAAATCTACATTGTCTTCTGCTGATTGCCAATCGGCAAAGGCCTCCTCCAACCTTTTCCACTCGTTTCTATCCTTGGCAACCCGGTTCCAAGTCACACCCGCGAATTTGACCAGGTCGTCCTCCCATCTTTGGCGGGGTCTCCCCCTCTTTCTTATGCCATTCCTGGGGTACCATTCTGTGACCTTCCTGCTCCACTTTTCCTTCCCTCTACTCATATGCCCAGCCCATTTCCACTTTAATTTCCTGACTTTTGTTGCTATGTCCCGAACCTTTGTGTTTTTCCTAATGTCTTCTAACCTGACTCGATCCTTTTTCCTGATTCCCATCATGCTTCGCTCCATCGAATGCTGGCATATTTTTAATTTCTTACTGTTTAATTTAGTAGGAGCCCATGTTTGACATCCGTACATCAATACAGGAAGAATGCATGTGTTGAATACTTTGGATTTAATGGATATGTGCAGTTCTTTATCTTTCACTATTTCCTTCATGCTCCAATATCTTTTCCATCCGTTACCTACTCTCCTGTTGATTTCTTTTTCCATGTTGTCTGTGGGTGAGATCATTTGGCCCAGATAGATGTATTCATCAACGTATTCTATCTCACTTTGGCCAACCCTGATGTTTTCATTTTTAGGTCCGTTGGTCATTACTTTCGTTTTCTCCATGTTCATTTTCAATCCCACCGTGTGACTTTCTAATGCCAGATCATTTGCCATGACATTGATCATATGAATCTATCATAATATATTGTTTGTACTGTTTTTTTTTTTCAAAAAAATCCTGCTGGATTTTTATTGGTTCTTCACAGGTTGGATTTTCCAAACCAGTGGTAAATTAAACATAAGACTGAATTTTAATAAGTATTATTTATCTATATAAATAAAATGATAGAGGTATGCGGTTATGCGACAATCACGGAAAAACTACAGGATAGATTTCAATTAGGTTTTCTAAGTTTTATTTCTTAGACACTTCCCGTATCTAAAAAAAAAAAATATTGCAATATCTTAATTTGACATAAAGTTATTAAAGTTTTAAGAAATGGCAATTTTTATATGGGGTTTTTCATACAGTTAACTGTACATCGCTTGCTCTCTTGTTACTAACCCAGATAATTTATATATTTTAGCTACAAGCGGAATAACGAATAACATTGTTTACAATGTTAGTTAAATTTTGTCTGTTTATGTTTTTTCCTTCACACATATGAAAACTTTGTTAATATATCAAGCAACGTGGACAAAGTCACCGGTATCAGCTAGTAATCTATATTGAATCATCATCATCATCATTACAGCCTTTCATAAGTCCACTGCTGAACATAGGCCAACTCCAAGGAATGCCACAAAGCACGGTCCTGAGCCACCTGCATCCATCGACTTCCTGCATGTCTTACCAGGTCGTCAGTCCATCTCGTGGGGGGTTGCCCTACACTTCGCCTACCAGTACGAGGCTGCCACTCAAGAACCTTTCTTCCCCATCGGTTGTCGGTTCTTCGAGCTATATGGCTGGCCCACTGCCACTTCAGCTTACTAATCCGTTGGACTATGTTGGTTACATTGGTTCTACTGCGGATATACTCATTTCTTTTTCTAAGTTTATCACGCAGAGAAACTCCGAGCATAGCCCTCTCCATAGCTCACTGAGCGACCTTGAGCTTCCTCATACGGCCAGCAGTGAAGGACCATGTCTCAGATCCGTAAGTCATCACTGGCAACACGCACTGGTTGTACAATTTCGTTTTCAGGTATTGAGTTATGTTTAACGAGAAGATGTGTCATAGTTTCCCGAACGCTGCCCCGCCGAGTTGCATCCGTCAATTGACCTCTCGGTCGAAATTGGACTTACCTAGTCGGACTATTTGTCCCAGGTAAACATACTCGTCAACAACTTCGAGCTTAGTACTCCCAACAACTACCGGCATAGGTGTGACATGGACATTAAACATGATCTTTGTTTTGTCCATGTTCATCCTAAAACCTATTCGTTGGGAGACACTATTGAGGTCATTGAGCATGGTGCTCAGGTCCTCTAGCGATTCTGCCATAAGGACTATATCGTCGGCAAATCGAAGGTGAGTGATGTACTCGCCATTGATGTTAATACCGTATCCTTTCCAGTCCAGAAGCTTGAAAAAGTCTTCCAACGCAGCGGTGAAGAGTTTCGGGGATATTGCACCTCTCTGCAATTGGATAGGTTTCGTACTCTGGTTCTGTACTCGGATAGCCATCGTACGTAGCTCTACTGTACAAACACTGCAGCACTTCGATATACCGACAGTCAACTTGGCGCCGCTGAAGGGACTGCAGCACCGCCCAAATTTCGACGGAATCAAAGGCTTTCTCATAGTCCACATACGCCAGACATAGTGGCAAATTGTACTCCTCGGACTTCTGTACAATTTGCCGAAGGGTATGTATGTGGTCTATGGTGCTAAAGCCCTTTCGGAAACCGGCTTGTTCGGGAGGCTGGAAGTCGTCAAGTCTGTGCGCGAGACGATTCGTAATGACTCTCGAAAACAGCACGTAGATAGGCCTCATAAGTGAAATCGGTCTGTAGTTCTTCAAGAGAGCGTTGTCACCTTTCTTGAAGAACAAGACCACGCACTTCTGCTCCACGCCTCCGGTGTAATGCCACCATGGAGGATGGAATTAAAGAGCTTCGGAAGGACTTCAAGTACTGGTCTTCCACCCGCTTTCAGAAGCTCCGCTGTAATTCCATCCTCGCCTGGGACCTTGCTGTTTTTAAGGTGCTGGAGCCATTCTAATCTCGCTCAGTCTGACGTCTGGGATATCTTCGGAATAGTGTCGGATAAGACTCGCTCTTGGATCGTTACTCACACTTGCGTGTGGCTCCAACGATGACGTGTACAGCTGCCCATAGAACCTCTCAATCTCACTCAAAATCTCAGGTGTCCCGGAAACGATGCTGCCACATTCGGTCTAAGCTTTGACAGTTGGCTCTTTCTGGCAGACAGATCTCTGGCAAAGACTTTGGAGCCTTGGTTCCGCTCGATCGCTTCTTCAATACAAGCTGTATTGAAGTTGCGTAAGTCTCGCCGCATGCATTTGGAGATCTGTCTGTTCAGTTGCCTGTGTGCTGTCAAATCTGTTGAAGAATATAGCTTCATCTCCCGTCTAACAGCCATGAGATTAAGATTAAGAGTGTGATCGGAGAGTTTTTGTGTTCTTCTGCGGTGGGTCTTGCAGAACTTAGCTCCGACCGCATGGACAGTATCCACGAGCTTGTCATTCATATCGTCCACTTCATTGCAGTCTTCTAGGCACTGAAAACGGTTTTGTAACTCGAGCTGAAAGGTTTCGGAACTTTGGAACAGAGCACGAGGGAGACAGAGCGTTGACTTCATTAGACGAGACCTCTCCAACTTAACGTTTAGGTTCAGTGTGCCTCTAACCATTCAGTTGTCGCTACCAGTTTTCACCCTCGCGATCACGGAGACATCACTGAACAGTTGTCGTCTGGTTGTCATAATGAAGTCAATCTCATTTTTTGTCGAACCGTCAGGACTCCACCAGGTCCACTTCCTGTGGGGCCGCTTCTGGAAGAAAGAGTTCATCATAAAGAGTCCCTCTTTCTCCATGAAGTCGGCCAGCTGCTGGCCCCTTGGGTTTCGTTGCCCTATTCCGAATTTCTCTACTTTCAGCTGACCGTTCTCTCCTGTGCCTAGTTTTGCGTTGAAGTCTCCCATCAACACCGCAAAGTGGGTTTTGGAGGAATGCATGGCTCTAGAGATATCCTCATACTTTTCCTCCACCTCCTCATCGGAGTGTGCCGAGGTTGGTGCGTAAACCTGTATGACCTTCAGCGAATACCGTTTGGTTATTCTGAGTATAAGGTACGCAACCCTCGTCGACACACTCAATCTTTACAACGTTGTTAACGAGAGACTTGTGGATCATAAATCCGACACCTTGGGACAGATGGTCGCCCTCCTGGTGATAGAGCAAGTTGCCGGATTCGAGGATTACCGTGTCCCCCTCTCTTCGGACTTCGGATAATCCTATAATATGCCAGCGTAACTTGTCTATCTCTTCTTCCAGCTCCACGATCTTCTCGTCAGTCCTCAGGGTGCGTGCGTTGTATGTTGCCAGGTCGAGTCGTCTTAGGTGGCAACCGAACCTCCACCGAAGATTCTTAGCACCCTCTGCCCCGCCGTTACCATGGTCGCCACCGTAGCCAGCAATAGCGGGGCCGCCGGGGACTGGGGGCCGTCTCTTCGTAACTTTCATCATGGGGGGTATATTGCCATAGTTGCCACGCTTGGCGAGCGGGTTGGCAACCGCAGTTTTTTATTGTATTTTGCCGTTACCAGGAAGATGCTGCTGCCTATCTCCTGCCTGTTTCCCTTTGTCGCCTTTTACGACACCCACGGGAAGATATGGCGTAGTGGGTATTCTTAACCGCCACTACACGGCATACTACATAGAATAATAACTTAAGGCTGATGAATTTGTAATTTACTAACAGTTAAAACTGTTTTTTAGATATTTGTAAAATCACAAATAGAGTTGGTGATGTTATAATTTTATGTTAAATTAATGAATAGAAATTTTTACAAATTCTTTTTTATGGTCACCTTACAGTTAATAATTTGCTATTTTGTAAGATTGGAGATTAAATCACCCCAATTTCATACTATTTTCCAACCACACTTCATTCAAATTTGCAAAACTAAAACCCTTGGCTTATCATGCTGCTGAAGTATCTTCTCATCTTTAAAAAGACCTTTGTTTGTCACTGAGTTTTTGAGTAGCTGATAAAGAAGAATGAAGATGGCCAATTCCTAGAAGAATTTTTAGTTTTTGATAGATGATGGCCAGGACCAGAATTTTGTAGCAAATGACATCAGACCCTTTTACTAGTAATGTGGTATTCCCACTAAATTCAAAATGAATCTTCATTTTGATTGTTTATGGAGGGTAGATATAGGTGTCGATAAGCTTCACAGTCCACTTACCATCAGGTGGATTGTGTGCCGTTTGTCACACTCATCCTATAAAAGAAGAATTGTTCACCAAGAAAATATTAATATATACATAACAAAAGGAAGTCTTATACTATAGTATTAAAAGGTTATCAATATATGCATTAAAAAGACACTAGACTTTTAGCGATAGATCAGTATAAATAAAAAGAGAAACAGAGATAGGCTAGATAAGCAATTAATGTTGCTTAACTATTTTCTTGAACAAATGCAAGAATTGAGAATTTTAAATCGACGGAGGTAAGTATTTCCAAAGTTTTACACAAAAAAATAGAAAAAGATTTATTTTAAAATGTAAGATTAAATCATGTGAGAAACGAAACCTAAAATATGAGTGTTTATCTATACAAATAAATCAAATTGAAGTGTCTGTTTGTAATGTCAAAATAACAGCTTTATACTAAATACATATGAAATAATATACCGCACTCATAACAAAACTACAATTTTTAATAAAAAATTCTGTCTGTCTGTTTGTTCCTGATAATCTCGGGAATGGCTGGACCTGTTTCGACGGGACTTTCACTGGCAGATAGCTGATATTATAAGTAACTTAGGCTATTTTCATTTCAGAAAAAGAATTAGGGTTCTGTGCAAAAAAATTAAAACCCATGAAATTCAATCGTAATAAATAACACGCGATTGAAGTCGTGGAGAACAGCTATTATTAAATATAACTACTGGATCGGCAAATATTCATTTTCGTGTTCGACTGACTGTTTATCAGGCACAATTTAATTTTATTCTTAGCCTTGAAATCACATTAGGTATTAATTAATTGTCAATACGCTGATGTTTATTGATAACCTGGCTTTGTTTACAAAATAACTCAAGATGCTCATAATATTTTAAGATTCAACCACTTCCAAATATAAACTTCTAAATATAAATAGTCATGCCAGAATCAAGCTCATTCAACTCATAATTAAAATAAATAAAATAAAATTATCAATAATAATGAAAATAATTGTTTGACATTTCAATATCTGCCAATTTCAAATACTACGCTCTGCGACAAACCTGTAGGAATGAAAAATTTAATGTTCACTAAAATTGTTTTTTTTTTTTAGGAATTTATGCGAGCAATGCGGGTCTCTAATCCGACAATGCGCGCTCTTGCTGACCAAATGGAACGCGAGGAAGTCGTGCGTTGGGCCAACTCACTCTCGCGTGCGCGCGTGACGCGATGGGGTGGTATGATATCGACCCCCGATGACGTCCTGCAGGTGGTAATAGACTCGACTGTAATGTGATTTCTAATAAAAACATTTTCTTGATAATATACAATGGCAATGCATTTTACTGTATAAACATTTATATATATATATATATATATATATATATATATATATATATATATATATATATATATATATATATATTTTTCTATTTATTGTAATAAGGTTAGTAAAAATTACTTTGCCTATATCCGCTCAATAAAATATAATGACTGCTAAGCGTCAGCCACTGCAGAGTTCACTTCACCTGAGGATGTCTCGTGTAGAGTCGAAACAGTTGTTGTATTAGGCCCGTCACATACATACGGAATTCCGTTTCGAGATTCCGAACGCAGCAAGTTCATATAAAATCTATGACTCGTCACACATGTACGGTAATTTTGCATTCGAAATTTTGCGTGCAATACGGGATTCCGCGTGTGTGTGGCCGTCTCGTTCGGAATTCCGTATGTATGTGGCCGGCCTTATCGGTCGGTGGTGTATCTTTCCTAGTGTAGTTGTGTTGGCATTAGTGGTGGCGGGGATAGTATACACAATTGAGGGAGGGCGGGAGGTGCTCTTCAAATTAGGTAAGACCCATCATTTTATTTTATTGTGCGGATACAGGCAAAGTAATTTTTAATAACTTTAATATAATGAATTTCCGCAAAGTATCGCCTGATTCTATTAATTATTTTAATAAGGTTTTAGTAGGTGAATTGTATTTTGTAATAAGTACTGTTCCCATCTCTGGGCAGGGGCTCCCCAGTGCCAGCTCCTTCCACTTGACCGCATCCAGCGCAGAGCGGCTCGAATCGTCGACGACCGAGCCCTTTCCGATCGGCTCGATTCATTGGCACTGCGAAGAGATGTTGCATCTCTTTGCATTTTCTTTCGCATCTACCATGGGGAGTGCTCTGAGGAATTGTTCGGATTAATCCCAGCCGCCAAATTTCACGAACGCACATCGCGGCAGAACTCCCGATACCATCCACACCATCTGGATGATTGGCGGTCCACCACTGTGCGATTTAGAAGATGTTTTCTTCCTCGCACAACTTCCTTGTGGAATAGTTTACCACCAGGGATTTTTCCGGACCGATACGACTTAGGGACCTTCAAGAAAAGAGCCTACTCCTTTTTAAAAGGCCGGCAACGCATCTGCAATTCCCCTGGTGTTGCGGTTGTTCATGGGCGGCGGTAGTCACTTACCATCAGGTGAGCCGCATGCTCGTTTGCCCCCTCTCCTATAAAAAAAAAAAAAAAAGTAAGTTTTCAATTTGACACTTAGTTTAGAATTAAAACTTTAAAAATTGTTGTATGTATTTCAGATGATGATTAAAAGGAGTTTATCAGAATCTGGTTGTCCACCACACATCATTGATGATCTCATGGAGAACTGTCACGAAAGAAGGTGGCCACCTGGGCTCTCATCTTTAGAAACCAGGCAAAACAACAGAAGGTATTTGGATACATTTTTAAGATACATATTTGGATATTATACCTATGAACAGGTTTATCTGGGCTTGGAATGTGTAAATATTCAGGTAGTCAAGTTTTAAGTTGTTTACCTACAGAGGATCATTCAAGCTGGTCTTTAGGTCTTTGTAGTTCGTATATAATATATTTCAATCTTCTCCTTTTTTAATATAAATCCTGGAATGCATATGATGTCGTTTCTAATCTCTACTTCAAAATCGTCGCAAATGATCTATGTAGTTAAATTATATCTGTATTAATACTCATAATTATAATGTAGTGATATTTTTTTTTTTTTTACTTAATACCCACTTTACTGAGTGACTATTTGATTCTGATAGAAAACTGAATCCACATAAATATTTATAAAAGATTTAAATTAATTTATATATAGTAGGGTTTAACCAAGGAAATTGTCGTTTTGTTTAACTGGCCACTTTGAACTGTAATAGTTTAAGGTTTTATTTTTAATTATAACTTCAAATGTTGGCACGTTATTCCCGCCCCAACAGTGGAAGGTATGCCAAGTTATAAAAGGAGGTCATTGTAATGTACACTGGTGTTTTCATTTCAAGTATTAAGTAAACAAACTTTCTATGATTTTAGTCTCTCTACCGCAATTACTGATACATCGTAATTCAAAACTTTGTATTAAATATTAAAGTTACAATTTAAAACTCTCAAACATTTTTAAAATTAAAGCATTAGTATTAGTGTTTTGATGACATTTGAAAATTAAGAATAATTTACTGTCCACAAGCTCCATATTCAAGTTTCTACATCATTAACAATTGGTAGCTCATCATCACAATTCAGGTTAAAATTCGTTAATTTTTATCTTACGTAAGATTTTTAATATTACTACCGCTCCCTTTGTCAGCAAAAGTAAGAAAAAATTCAACGTAGTTGTATAAATGTTAAATATGTATATATTGTAGTAATAAAAATGAATAATCTGAAAATAGGGAAGGATCATGATCTCACAGATTTTATACGTGGTAGAGCCATGTTGCAGCTATATTAGTAGTATAGTTGTAGCACGAATGGGTCGGCCCGACCGGGGAAGAACCACGCTCTCACAGAATACCAGCGTAAAATAGCAGCTTAACACCACTGTGTTTCGTATGGTGAGTGTAGAGAACCGGAGACCCTTTTTACTGGAAAAGAGGCATTCTATCTTAGTCCTCACGGCTGACAACGCATCTGCATTTTAATTCGCAAACGAAGACAGATGTACATGTCTATTGGCCACAGCAACCACTTACCATTAGGTGGACTGTGTGCTCGTTTGTCACCCTTATTCTATAAAAAAAGAAAAGTAATGGATAAGGACGACATTATATTTGTTCGCGCCAAACGCTAATTTCAAGAATTAACGCGAGAGGGCGCTCGGCGCGGTGCATTCATACCGGTTTGACGTCGGCCGAGCGGTGGGTTGAGAACGCGTAAAGGCGAAGGAGTCGTCTGTAAGCGGTGCTAACGTTAGCACGCTGTCATTTTTGTCGGGAACTCGGAATAATTAGGCGCGGACAGTAAATATACGGTCTAGGATTTTGTGACCGGAGACCCTTTTTACTGAAAAAGAGGCATTCTATCTTGGTCCTCACGGGTGACAACGCATCTGCATTTTGATTCGCAAACGAGGACAGATGTAGATGTCTATGGGCCGCAGCGGCCACTTACCATCAGGTGGACTGTGTGCTCGTTTGTCACACTATTCTATAAAAAAAAGAATAAACGCAAAAAATAGCAGCACAATACTATTGCATTTTCTGAAATCAGCTTTTTCTTTCTGTTAAGTTACATTTTGACTCTTTTAAGTGGCCTAAGTAATATCACATGCTCACAAATAGAATGAAATCTAAAATTGGTGCAATTTATTTTAATTGGGCCTGGATTTCACTAATTTTAATAGTTTTCTATTAGTGTTAAAGATACGTCAACGTAACGTAGATAGTCAACTTGACTAAGTTTGCTGATATCTATGGTTTTTACACAAAGAAAGAATACCTAATATGTTTGGAATAGCAAGTAATAAATTGTTGTTTATCATAAATGTATACAGTATTACAATGTCGCCGTGTAGTGGCGATTTAAGATAATATTTTTTTTATCTATACATATAATAAAACTGTAAATAGCAGATGTCTGTACATTTAATATTTTTGTAATAAAAGTGATTGAGGGGTACTAAAAATAAGTAATTAAATACATTTCTACCATTTTTAGAATTTTCTGTCTGTCTGTCTGTCTGTCTGTCTGTCTGTTTGTTTGTTAACGTATCACGTATAAAGTACTAATTTATATCATAAGAATTGTTAAGGAAATTATAAAGTGTATCTTCGGGTTACATTTAGTCTTTATTTCATTAAAATCAGTTCATTCCATCAAAAGTTATGATAAATATTCTGAAGTATGGGTAGGGAAGTATAGGTACGAATTGCTCAACGGTGGCTTTGTTTGAGTCATCAAGTGCATTTTAAACTAATATCATATCATAAATCATAGTTAAATTATGTAAAATAATGATATAATTATGTATATCTAAAACGCAGTAAACAAAAGTAATAAAGAACGTATTAAATATATTATACAAAAATATATTAACGTTATTAACTAAATCTGAAGCACAATAGTTAACCCATTTCTTCGATAGATGGTGGTGTTGTGAAAATGCAATGCAATGTTTTATTAAAATTGGTTAATTCTATCGAAAGTAATGATTATTATTTTGAAATGTAGGTTCGAATTTGTTCAATGGCGCCATAAAATCTCTGAAATAGTAATAAAAAGATTTCTGTGTAAAAAAAACGTTCCATAATAATTAATATATTTATACTTAAAACACAAAAAGAGATAGGATGTTTTCTCACACAAAGGACGTAATAGATGGAGTTGTACAAATTACAAACTTTTCTGAATTGCTGTATTGAGATTTTTCGCCGATGTATCGTATCGTAGATGACGCCTTGACACATATGAGTATTGGTATTGTATAGTTTGTAATATGTAGTATATTGTAATTGTAATTTGTATTGTATAGCCAATATTATTTGTAAATTATGTGTTTCATTTTTAAGTTATCTGTGATGGCGTCATTTTGGAGAATAAACCTTTCTTTCTTTCTTTCTTTCTATTGAGACTTACTGAAGAAATTTGTATCCATCGAAGCCATACAACGGAACCCGACCAAAAATAAAAATTTCGCAACGAAATGTCGTGATATTGTATTTATTATATACGCAAAATCAGAACTGCCATTTTAACGCTTTGGGAACTAGATTTAGCACTTTTTTGGAATGTATAGCGCGCATTTCGAAATTTTAGCACCTAGCGCTTAATCCAGCGCTTTTTGGTGTATTTAGCACACATTTCAATATTTTAGCGACTAGCGGGTTATTAACTCTTTTATAGGAGCACTGTTAGTCCACATTACCGATAATAATAATAATGACCTTTATTATTTTTTCTCACAAATAGTACCTACATTGCAGTTTATCTTTTTCAAACATATTTCTTCCACAAAACAAAGAGCATGGGAGACGAGTCCAAACTAGGATACCCTGTGCTATGGATCTCCTGGCTTCCCCTTTAGGATGATCAACTTGATTTTTTTACCGACGACTATAAGCGGGGAAATCCCCTTTATTAAAGTTTTCGTTCATGGTTTTGGCAACGCATTTATTTTGCTTTATTCAGTTTCAGTCAGTTGCTTAGAGCACAGCTAAGTTAAAAGTTACTTAGAAGTTATAACACAAAGAAACTGTGTAGCAACCGCAATCAGATGCTGACATCTGAAACTAAGTTGCGAAATACATTGCACTTTAAAACAATTAATGACATTTTTATTGTTCGTACAGTACTAACTACTGTTGACAGCAATTGCTATAATTATAAGTCGATGTCCTGCGAAGTATTGATACATCAAAAAAATATTGCCAGAAAAAAAAACTTAATGTTGTTTTCTTTATTATGATTATATAAAAATACACAAACTTTGTTTGTAGTTAATTTAGCGCGAAATCTAGGGCTTTTTTAAAGCGCTGTTTTCATGAAATCTAGCGCTTTTTGTGTTGTCCTAGAGCTGAATGAGTTTTTTTTTATCTGGCAGCACTGCCCAAAAACCCTCTATTAAGAAGTAACTTTCCTTTCAGTTTTAAGCGCGTTCAGTTCCCAGTTACAGTGAGTTTATGTTATGCGATGACCGTAAATAAAGCGCAAGGTCAAACTTTACGCGTTGTAGGAGTGTACCTCAGTACTGACTGTTTTGCACATGGCCAACTCTATGTTGCTTTTTCCCGCGTTAGTAGCCCCCATAACCTTTTTGTGTACACCCCGGCTAAGCCTACTTCTAATGTCGTTTACACAGAAGCTCTATCATAAACGACTTAGAACTTTGATGATAATGATTTATTTAGTTACCACTTATTGATACAGTAATGAAATAAATCGTTTAATATTCTCTTACCTAAACGACAAATTCTTTATGTAAAACCTGTATACGCGAGCTACGCCGCGGGCACAGCTAGTATAGAATAAGGGTGATAAACGTGCACACAGCTCACTTGTTAGTTAGTGGATGTTGTGGCCCATAGACATCTACAACTATCCTCGATTAAGAATAAAAAGGCAGATACGTTGTCACTCAAAAAAAAAAAGGGTCTCCGGTCCTCTACATTCACCATACGAAACACAGCATTGAGCTGCTATTTTACGCTGGTATTCTGTGAGAGCGTGGTCCCTTCCCGTTCGGGCCGACCCATTCGTGCTACAACGATAATTTAGCTGCACCATGGCTCTACCGCGTCAAATACCTCATACTACCCAGCTAGTTCGTAAGAGTTGACTGAGGGAAATTAAAATGTAGATAAGCAGCATTCTTGTTAACAACTCAAAATAATTTAAAACTGTGATTACTAACCCAGTCTGCCAGGCGTGCCAACTATAGCAAACATCCCCCTATTTTTTTTATTGAAGAAGAGGCAAGCGAGCATGTGGCTCACCTGATGGTAAGTGACTACCGCCGCCCATGAATAACCGCTACACCAGGGGAATTGCAGATGCGTTGCCGGCCTTTTAGAAAGGTGTAAGCTCTTTTCTTGAAGGTTCCTAAGTTGTATGGGTCCGGAAAAATCGCTGGTGGTAATCGATTCCACAAGGAAGTTGTGCGAGGGAGAAAACTTGTTCTCAATCGCACAGTGGTGGACCGCCAATCATCCAGATGGTATGGATGGTATCGCGAGTTTTGTCGCGATGTGCGATGGTGAAATTGAGCGGCTGGAATTAGTCCGAACAATTCCTCAGAGATGTGTATGATGTGGCATTCTGTGGTGGAAGTCTGTGAAATGTTGACAATATTATCTGTGTTAACATTGTTGTACAATTTTGAAAAATATTATTTGCAGGCTATATGAAAAATATGTCTGCAAAAGAGTACCGGGGAAGCAAGCAGTTTTGGTTCTACAGTGCGATAACACGCATGTTGACGAACATATGATGGTCGAACCTGGCCTTGTGATGATATTTGCCCATGGCATTGAATGAGTATTTCATTAAACATATACTCTGTGTGATATACAGTGTCAGAAGAACTTACATTAGTGACGGACTAAATTCTATGTATTTGATACGAAAGAACAACAATTTGTGTTAAAATGGTATTACCAACAATTTGTTTCAACACGAAAAATGTTAATTTAGTCCGTATAAGCATTTATATGGGGACTTTTAATTTTGTAAAAGTGAAAGTTTTGTTGTGTAATTTTTTTGGATAAACATTCCTAAATTTTTGTAGATAGAAGAAACTTTGAATTTGCTTTATTATTGCTTAATAGAAAATTAAGGGAGCATTATTTTGTAATACACTAAATATTTAAAGAGTGCTGTACTTTGGTACAACCTAAGTGATTCAGTAGTGTCCTAATTTTAATGTGTCACCAGAAAATGCCTAGAGAATGTTTTGCTACGGACTTCGTGTTTTTCTTTTGTGCACACACATGTCAGATGTGAGTCCATTTGATTTCGCTATTAATTCATTAAACAGTATTGGAGACATTTAGACGGTCATGTTCAGTGAACACAGTCAGTTAATAAATAATACAAGCACTACTAAACCTGTTCCGCAGTGACTATTAAAATTTTGTTAGAAATATTTTAGACTTTGGTTGACTTAGTCCAACAGTAGTAGTACAAAATATATTCGTACGGTAGATTAAATAAATATCTTTGGGAAGCTTGATAAAAAAATAGTCTTAAAATCCGAACGTAATTTGGTTGAAAAGTACATCAAGTATTTGTCAAAGGAAAGGAAAATATTAATGATCCGGTAACAGGATGAATGATGACAGATGAATATTTTATTTTTCTACGTTTTCATTTTATGGCAGTTGCGTAGCATGGTTTGCAGCCACCCGAATCCGTTAGATTCAAAAATATCGCCTCTTCTCCTCCTCTACTGATTTTAGGAATTGTCTAAAAAATATTATATGACAATAAAATAAATAGAACAATAATATAATGTAACTGACTAACTGGATTATCACAGATTCAAATATTTACAAAATTGCTAATTTTGCTTTATAATTTTCTCCCGATATCCAATTTTTATAGGTTTTATTTAACTACTCAATCTATTAATGAACATAAAACTTGTGTATTATAATACGAACTGTGAGATTGTAAGTCATTTGATTTACTGTAAAATGGACGTAGTAATAATCGACACGTAGAGCTTACACTCAAATATGAATGTAGACTATACTAGATTTACGATTAATATAGTGCAAAAAGAACTCCCAGATAAATTTTTATTAAGCGTTTTTGTTGTGTTAACTTTCATTCGTTCGTCATCATTCATTCATAAGCTCGAATAGTAACATTAGTGCAGTAAAATTTACTTACGTATTTATGTATGATTTAACTATTCTGTTATTGTACTATAGCTTTTTTTATTTAAATCTTAACAACGGTTCTCTTTCCACACAGACAGCAAAAAAATTAAAATTGTAATAACAATTTATACATTTAAATAAAAATGATTTGTCAATCTGTAATATTAACCCTTTCGCTGTCCTGTGCACTACATAATATAGGTCATTGCTATTGTCTTACTATTGTGTCTGAAAACCGGACAGTGAGTGTTAAAATAACTGACTGGTATTGCTCAGCTCAGCTCAGGGCGTTATTTGCATGCCATTAAGAAAAGTCCATGCTAATATTTGAAATGGCTGAACATAGTGTGATGAAACTTCATAAATAAAATAGAGAGCAATGCCATAAGTTATAAAGGCTATAATAATTAATCTGAAAAACAGTTTTTTTTTTGTGAAATCAAATAATTGTTAAAATAAATGGTCTTTGTTGAATATATTTAATCTAAGTTACGCGGCATTAGTAAATCCCCTCCACACGAGGCCAAGGCGTGTCGCTACTCGCAAAATAAATATGCCTGGGTGCAGATATGTAATTCTTGCCCACACCTTAATTGTTTAAGACTTTCAGTTTTACTTATACTATGTTTTTTCAATGCATCAAATGTGTAATGGACACCATTGTTTATTGGAACCGATAAGGAAATAAAACTGTGCATTTATTTTATCGTGTGGATAAAGGCATGCACGCAACTATTACCTATGTGATATTTACCGAGAGGATTTTTCCTCTTTTCTAAATTTCGAATTGTCAGAAAAAATAATATATTTTAGCTCAATTTGAAAATTGTAATAAAAATCGTTTAAAATATTTTGCCTTTTTTTTTTGTTTGATGTCTTCATACTTCAAGCTTACATTTATGTATCATTTATTAATGTTCCTATTCAGGCTAATAATAATGTATCGGTTATAATTAAGATCTATTGCATGGAAAGGTAAGCGACAAAGATGGCGACGTACTGTCCCCATCACATTTTTGTATTTTGTTTCGCACCTTCATTGACTTTCCATATTTTGCTAGATTATCGGTGAAGGCTTAAGGAAGAATTGACCAAGGCAGCGCAGCTAATATTTCTTGTCCTAAAATTTTTAGACAGATCGCCGCGCTTTCTCAGTGAAGCAGCACATCACTTTTCTTAGGTCCGTAATATCGCAGTTCCATAATTCTAAGTTGAAACTATTACCTTATTACTTTATTTTTATTATTATCTTATTTCGTAACATTAGTGATGGTTGTGTGGTTGTGTTCACCTTTAATTGGTAGGTTGGAAACTGCTAGAAGATTGCGGTAAATCAAGGCCAATTAGGCCCATATTATCAACCCTCGTTAATGTTACAGACTATTTAGACGTCGTCTGAATTTAAACCAAATTTAAACCATTGATTAAACTTCTTTTGTCTCTTCTATAGTATATGGGTGGCAAACGAGCACAACACACAGTCCACCTGATGGTACGGTCCGCTCGTTCTATCTTGGCCGGGCTGAAGTAACTCGCGAGTGGCTGCGCAGATATAGTTTAAAGGAAAAAAATGGTAATAAGAGTGAGACGATAACTAAGAGACTGTAACGAACTAGAGATGCGAATAATTAATTGATTATCGTTATTGATTATGTGATTCGATTTTTTTTTGGTTCATTGATGTGCTAATGTAACATGTCGTTTTAAATACAGTGATTACGATAAGCATTAAAATTTTTATTGATACATTTAAAGCCGGCTACTCATGTTGGTCATAGCTCGCCGAGCGATGGCGAGTACCAGCCTATAAACAGCCTATTTTAGCCTCGCCATTGCAAACGTATAAGAATTGTATGGCGTGCCGTACCTCCACTCTTGATCGCTGCCAGGAATCGTCTCACTTCGGAACAGTGTCGGTTTTTCTGCATAAATCAAAGGCACTCGTCAAGTCGCGTCCACATATTAGTTGGCCAAGTCTGATCACTGTTTTAAACTTGGCCAACATGTAGACTGTAGCACTTGCCTTGTATCAATTTACCTATGCTTGCCTTGTCTGAGGCTTGACCAACATGTATTGCCGGCTTAAAGTTATATTATTTTGGGGTTACTGAAAGAATTTGTTGTCTCCTCCCCGCTAATATCATGTATTTACTATAATATATTCAAACTTTTGTCGCAATTCTTTATTTCTTTATAAGAACTACTGTTTTATTGAAATACATAAAGATATTTCTATAATAGTAATAATTTGCAACTTATTCTGTAACAGATATAGACAAAACAAATTGTTTCCCTAAACAATCTTAAACGCGAATATGAAGTGGCACATCTCTATCGACTAGCGTCTGTACATGCGCGAATTTCTCGGAAAAGGCGGCTACTCACATGCCTACCGCATGGGCAATCAAGGGTGTAGGAGTGGGGATGATGAAAGGACTCTGTCGTCGACGATTCGAGCGGCTCTGCGCTGGATGCGGTCAAGTGGAAGGAGTTGGCACTGGGGAGCCCCAGCCCAGATATGGAAACAGTATTCCATGTGAGGCTGAACCTGCGCCTTGTAAAGTTACAGGTGTTGTGCCGGCATGAAATACTGTCCCGCTCTGCTGAGCACGCCATCCTTTTTAAACGGCAATTTGGCCTTCTCTTCCAAGTGATCACGAAACTGCACGTCACTCGATATGTCGACTCCCAGGTTTCCGATACTGGCTAAGACAACAAGGGGAGTGCCTTGAAAGTGAGGAGATACGACAAAGGGGTTCTTTTTAGCGGTAAACGCTCAAACTTGTGTCTTCTGAGGATTAAACTAGACTAGATTTAGTCGCCCCCAATCCGAGACTGTTCAGCAAAGACTCGACTTCAGACAAAAGTTTGTTCCGGTACTCGGCGACGTTTTCCCGAGAAATATTGGCACGGCCCGTGTAGTCACCATCACCAGTGCTGTCGTGTGCATAGCAATGAATGTTACTGGTTTGTAACATATCATTGATATGCAGAAGAAACAGTAGTAATAGCACGCAGCCTCGTTGAACACCAGCGTTTATGGGCTTGTAATCTGAGAATGTGCCGTCTACTACGACCTTGATGCTCCGATCTGCAAGAAAACTGGTTATTCAATTGCACAATTTCTCGGGAATCCCATAGGAAGTCAGATTCGAAAGAAGCGCTTTCTCTCAAACCCGATCGAAAGCCTTCGCTATGTCCAAACTAACGGCCAACGCCTCCCCCTTGGACTCTACTGCCTCCGCCCATTTATGATTTGATTCTTAAAAAAAAGTTACCCCCACACTAGGATTTTCTCCTGTGTCGTGGAGGCAGTTTACAAACATAAATTGCACAAGGATAAACATCCAGACCCGGAACAATTATTTGTAGGCCATACAAATACTTGTTCCGTGCGGGATTCGAACCCACGGCCGCCAGCGCAACAACTGATTGCTAAGCCACTGCGCCACGGAGCCGTTGTTAGGTAACCTAGAAGATCACCAGCTGAGAGACCTCGACGGAAACCGTACTGGCAGTCAATAATCAGCTGGCGATACTCAAGGTACCGTATGAGCTGACTGTTAGTAATGGTTTCCATTACTTTGGAGAACAAGGAGGTGATAGCGATAGGCCTGTAGTTGGACGGATCTGAGCGGTCGCCTTTTTTAGCGA